TCTTTTGTGCCTTGTTGTAATACACTTCACTTCTGAGTGTTATAAACCCCACAGTACCTTGTTATTAATTTTGCTTTAAACATTTTTTTAAATGTGTTTTATATCTACCCACATATTTATGATTCTTGATACTCTTTAGTCCTTTATGCAAGTCTGATAACATTTTCCTTCTGCCTGAAGAAAGTTTGTTATCATGTCTTTTGGGTTCAGGTCTGCTGGCTGTGAACGCTCTCAGATGTTGATGATCTGAAAAGAGTCTTTACTTCACCTTCATTCTTAAAGGATACTTTTGTTGCAGATATAATTTTAAATTGCCAGGTTTTTTTCTTTCAGTACTTGAAAGATTTTGCTCCATTGTTGCATTAGTTTGCTGGGGCTGCCATACAAAATCCCACAGACTGGGTGGCTTAAACAATACAAATTTATGTGCTCACAGTTTTGGAGGCTGGAAGTTCAAGATTAAGATGTTGACAGTTAATTTCTTCTGCCGCCTGTCTCCTTGGCTTACAGACAGCTGTCTCCTCCCTGTGTCCTCACATGGTCTTCCCTCTGTGTGTGTCTGTGTCCTTAGCTCTCTTCTTATAAGGACACAGTCAGATTGATTAGGGCTCACCATACAAATTCATTTTAACTTAATCCCCTCTTTAAAGACCACGTCTCTAAATATAGTCACGTTCCGGGTTGCTGGGGGTTAGGACCTCAACACAGGGATTTTGAGACTGCACATTCAGCCCATAACAATTATTTTCTGACAAGAACATGTCATCACTCTTTGCTTTGATCCTCTGTATGTAATGTCTTTTTTCTCCAGCTCATTTATGATTTGCTCTTTATCACTATTTTTCAACAATCTGGTTGGGATGTGTCTTGGTCTGTTTTTTTTTAAGATTATCCTTCTTGGAGTTTGTTGGGATTATTAAATCTGATGCTTACATTTTTTGTGAAATCTCAAATATGCCAGCCATTATTTCTTCAAATATTTTTCTGCTCCCTCATTATCCTCTATGCAGCCCCTACATTCTCCTCTCCTTCTGGGACTCAAATTTCACATAGGTTAAAACATTTTATCTACTCCACAGATCACTGATGTCTTCTTCATTTCTTTAGTTCTTTTCACTTTGTGCTTAGTTTTACATAGTCTTTATTGCTTTGTCTTCAACTTCAAGTTTTCTTTCTCAGCGACCAACCACCCATTAATAACATCCAGTGTATTTTTTCCTCAAATATTGTATTTTTTATTCTAGAATTTCCCTTTGGTTCTTTTTTGTATCTTACATTTCTTCTATGTTTTCCATTACTATCTTGAATATATGGCACATATTTCCAGTGGCTGTTTTAAAACATTTTAAACATTTTAAAACATTTTAAACATTTTAAAACATTTGTTAATTCCATCATAGCTATCATTTCTATATTTGCTTCCATAAATTTTTCTCCTGATTATATGTAATATTATCTTGCTTCTTTGGATGCCTGCTGAATTTTTATTTGATACCACACATTAGGAATTGTACATTCTTGGGTCTTGGGTTCTGCTGGAATCCTTTAAATCAGTTTGGACTTTGTTCTGGCATGCCTTTAATTTACTTGAAAGCAGTGTAACTCTTTCAAGGCTTGCTTTTCAGTTTTATCAGAATGGGTCAAAAAACTAGCCTTTCGTCTGCGAGAAGATGCTGAGTAGGAGAAAAGAGTCAAGCCCGAGGACTGAACAGAGAGGAATCGGACTCAGAAGCCAAGGAGAGAGCACAGAGGCCTGAGATGGATCAAGGAGCAAAGACCAGAGACCCGCAGAGCGCAGGAGCTGCATTCCTGCAAAAGTCAGTGTATATTTACACTGGGGTGGAGGTGGGAGAGAGTTCGTGTTTATGTCATAAACACGTTTCTCATTTACATTCAGAAGTGGAGCGTGATGTGGGACGTTCTCTTGGTGTACATCTAGCTCCAAAGAAAGCGCTGCGCCAGCTCCATGTGTTAACCAAAATTGCTGCCGCACGTTTCCAAAATGCCCTCTAGGGGGCGGTACTTGCCCCATTGAAAACCACTGGTTTGGGATTGTGGGATTTAGAGTATGCCTTTGTTACTCTGCCCTTCATTGGCCCAACTTCCTCACCTTGCCACATCGTCAGGGGAACCCCAAGAGCCCTTTTCTTCATGTACCCTTCCTGGAAGATGAATTCATTCATTTCTGTGGCTGCAGCGACTGCGCAAAGTTCATGGCTCCCTCGCCCACATTAACAGCCTGGTCCTCCTGCCTGCCTCTTCTCTCTCTCTGCTAAGGTCTGCTCATCCTTAAAGGCTCCGCTCAGTGCTGTCTACCTAGTTACAACCTCTCCAATGACGCCAGCTGACAGCAACCTATCCTTCCTCTTGCCCTTGGAGATCCTGCCAGTGCTTTAGTTCTCAATTGGACAGAACTCCTCAAACTGTAGTCGTGATTCACCCGGAGAATGGTTAAAACCTAAACCTAAAACCCAGGGGACAGCTTGTCAAAATGTAGGTTCCGAGGCAACATCCTCAAAAGATATTTCTTTGATAATAAGGCTGGTCATTTATTTTCACTTACAAACATCCAAAGCAAAGAAATGAACATTGTAACACATTCTCAGAGGGATTTTGATATTAATCGAAAATTGAAGAACCACTGCCTTGGTCGTTTCAGGAGTGCCCCACATGTGTGTCTCTGTTTTGTAGACTCTTTCAATCTTGGAACTGCTTTTTAATGTGTGGAAGCTGGCCTCGCGCTGAGCATATAATGCAAGATTTCAGTTTTCAGTGTCAGGAGCTGGGGATCTGGGGACCCAGGGAGCGTCTTGGTGATGGGTCTTAGTCTCCTCCATAATCTGGATCAGCCGCCTCAGTTTTTTGATATGCGCAGTTGATAGTATTTTCTGGGTTATATTCAGTGCTCCGGGAAAGTGCGACACAAATGAAGCTTCTGGACAAGAACCCTGGCCTTTCTTTCAACTGGGCTGCTGCCCCTAATCCCATCCTGTACAGGATCCCGGAGCCGCCACCGCCTGGGACACAAAGATTAATAAAACTGGTTCCTATTTGCAGGAACTTCAAGCCTAAGGGCCAGCCCCGGTGGCCTAGTGGTTAAGTTCGGCACGCTCTGCTCCCACAGGCAGGGTTCAGTTCCTGGGGGTGGAACTACACTACTCACCTGTCAGTGGCCATGCTGTGGCCATACAAAAAAAGTGGCATGGATGTTGGCTCAGGGTGAATCTTCCCCAGCAAAAAAAACAAACAAACAAACTTCAAGCCTAATAGATGAGAGAGACAGGTAAACAAACAATTTCACAGTAATGAAAGCATATAAGAGGTACAGAAATATTGGTGGAGTCAAGGAACTTAATATCTGAGCTGAGTTTAGAAGAATGTGTAGGAACTAATTCAACCAGGCAGGGAAGAGCAACCTACACAAGGACACTGCATGCACGAAGGATGGAGGCGTGAGTCAGTGCAGGTTATCAGGGCATGAATGGTAAATGCCGGCGCTTGGTCAAAGAGAGTGGTGGGAATGAACCTTCCTCCTGGCCTTGGGCATTGCAAAGGAAGGATGGAGGCACTGGTGGGGTAAATTTGTGAGGAAGGACCCTCAGTTGAGGCCACTGGTCTCCTTTCTTCTCAGAAGCAGGCAGTTCTGGATGGCATGGCCACAGCCTCTCACTTTCTCGAGCACAGCAGCTTCCTAAAGCCCCTTGGACTGGAGCTCTGGTCTCTGGGCTCATCCCAGGGCAATGACTTTCAAAGTGACTGCAACCCCCACTAAGAAATACATTTGATGTTGTGACCCAGAACACACATACTCAAATATAAAATTGAAACACAATTTCCATAGAACAATACTTCCATTATTGCCTGTGATCGCTTTGATATTTTGTTTTCTATTCTAGCCCATTTTTTAAACATTAACCTTGGGTGGCACTCACTAAGCTGCTCTCACAGGCCAGGGAACCAAACCCGCAGTTTGAGAAGCACCATCCTAGGCTCATATCCTAGTTTGGAAGTGTCGAGAAGCAGTAGAGTACAGTGGCTAAAATCTTGGACTCTGGGAGCAAACTGCTTGAATTCAAGTCCCTATTCCCCAACTCATTATCTGTGTGGCCTTAGGCAAGTTTATACTTCGGTTCCCTTGTCTGCAAAATGGGATAATAAGAGTGCCTACCGTCTGGGTTGTTGTGAGGATTGTGAGATTATATACATATAAAAGCCCAGAAAACTGTCAGACATCTAGTAAGCGCTGTCTAAGTGTTAGCTGCCGTTATTATTATCATCATCATCACCATTATCATCTCTGACTCCTCCTCCTATCTCATCCTAAATGAAGCTCAGTTGCGGTACCACTGGTGGTGAGGGGCAAAGGCAAAGAAAGCCATTTATTTACAAAGCTGTACGAAACTACACAGGGGGTGGGGCAGGGTGGGGAGACGCTGGGTCCCCATCTGCACGGGCTGCCCCCCCCACCCCCCCACCCCCCCACCCCCCGTCTACACGGGCTTCCCCCGATCCTGTTGCAGGAACGAGGAGGAGGGAGACTCCTTTCCTAGCCATGACTCAGTGTCCTGGAGAAGGTGACAACTGGGTCTGAAATGATCCCCTCTGCTTTCTACTCACAAATATTTTATTCTCTCACTTTTTGTGACCACCTAGAATCCCATACCCCCAAAGCAAGGAGGATTTCCTTTTTACTATACATCTTGGAACCATATTAGAGTGTCAGTTCATAGAAAGGAAGGTTGGATTTATTTCCTCATCAATTCAGTGCACTCAATCCAATAGCGGACAGCCCACAAAGGGGATTTTGAAAAAAAGAAGAAGGAAAAGCAGAAGCAAACTATGTCAAAGTCTGGCATGCTTCCACCCACCTCACCCAGCACCTCAGATGCACTGACGGTCAAAGTAAAGAATAAAAGGGACACCTGAAGGGTGTGGAAGCCAAATCCAAGAATATTCGCTCAATCACCCAAAGGACAAATTCAGGAAATAAAGGACTGGAGCCTTGGAGTAAATGTTTCATTGGTCATGATGATCAAAAGATGATGGTTAACACACACACACACTCAGACCTCACCCCACCTGTTGTGAGCAGAAGCCACACCTCCGGCCCCACCCCCACCCCTGCTGGGCTTCTCCTGCCCTGCCCTGCAGCCACCCCTCCACCCAGGACTCTGCCCTCCACTGGGAATTCTACTGCCCTGTTTTCAACTGCCCTCCACACGGGGCCTGGACGCTCACTGGGAAGAAAAGCCGAAGACGCCCTGAGTCTGCGGTGGGCTGGGTTGCAATGTCCATGAGTCCTTCTCCATCTCCCCTTCCCAACCTCTCTCCTCCTCTCCCCTCTCCCACCCCGTCATTGTTCCCCAGAAACAAATAGGATGGCTTCGCTGGTCAATTCTTTACATGTACAAACACCAAAAGCAGAAGAAACGCCCCGGCCACCCCCCTCCCCCCAAACCCCAGTGCTGGGAGAGCAGCCATGGCAGGCGAGGCTGCCTCGGGAACTGCGGAGCTGCTGGAGCTGTCCGGCTGTTCTGGAAACTTCTTTGGCCTCTGGGCTTTACCTGGAGGCCTCTTCCTTCAGCTCCTTGTTTTTCCGCACTTCCTCGGCGTGCTTGTCCTGGGAGGGAAGGGAGGGAAAAGGGCAGGTCACACACGGCTTCCCGGGATAAATGCAGGACGAGGGGCAAGAGAACCAAGGCAAAGAATGGCCGCCACAGGAGGAGAAGAGCAGGGTCTGCGAAGGCTCCTGGGAAGGGGCAGAAGGTGGCAGGTGAGACCAGCAGGAGGCAGGTGTGTGAGCCTGTTATGAGGCCCCCCGGGAGCTCCTGGACTGGGGCCAACCTCCCATGGAGGACCCACCACCGTGACCCCAGGGCCCACCAGCCTCTCCCTCCGTCCCCAGGCTGTCCTGGCACTTGCTGAATGCGCTGCTGGACTTGATACAAGGAGCAGCTCAGTGTAGCTGCTAGAGTTGCTGGTAGAACAGACAGGCCTCATTGAAGTGCCCCCTACACACTCAGGCAACTTCACTGCTTTTACTTCTTGTCCGTCTCCTTAGAGAAAGTCGTCTTAACCCACTTGGTGAAAGATGAGGGCTCTTAAAGTTTAAACTGACAGAAGAATTTTGGAAATGTTATCCAACTCCAAAAAGTGGACTTTCTTACCAGTGTTGTGAGAGGACCCTCTTTTGTTTTACAGCGTAATGAAACCAAAAGATGGGAAATGACTTTGAAAGCCCCCCAGCTGTGTGACCTTGACCAGCTCGCTTCACCGATCAGGCCTCTGTTCTCTGGTCTTAGAGGGAGGGGCGTGGATGGGAAGCTCTATCCCTCTAGAAGTCTGTGATTTCAGCGTTCCCCTCGAGGGCTTCTCACGGTCTGCCGTATTGTGCATGAGTCTGGCGCATGTTGGACGGTGACCTCCTTGTGGACAGGGACCGTGCCTTTTTCTTTGTTATAACTCCCACTTCCCACTGTGGCTCCTTGCGCATAGTAGGTATTCAGTAAATATTCTCTGCCAGACTGGCATCGTCACATCCAGATATCAAGACAGCCTGGTGTAGACCCCCCGAGGCAGTCCAGGTTCCCAGGATGTACCTTAAACTACAGATCTGTCCCTGGAGATGCCCTAGAACTTTCCACGGCCCTGGGGAGAGTGTGGGGAGTAGTGTGTCTAGGGCAGCGGTTCTCAACCTTGGTAAACGTCAGCGTGACCTAGGAAGCTTGTTCACCGCAGGCCTGCAGATGCCATCCCTAAAGAGCTGGGTTAGTAGGTCTGGGGGGGGTCCAAGCATCTGCAGTTTTAAACTTTACACCAGGTGAGTCTGGTGCAGATGGTCAGCGACCCACACAAACGCTGACACAGAAGGCATTGTTGAAGGTGTCCCTGGCCTGGAGCAGCGCAGAAACCACACACCCGTCTCTCCTTCTACCTCCTGCCTTCACCCTTGAGCAAGGGAGAATAAGGGTCAAGATCCCGGAGGAGTGAGGCCCACTCAAATGTCTGCGCTGACATCTTGTTTCTTTGAATCTTACCTCACCTCCAACGCTATTACTCCAGAGTATGGGCCTTCCCAATCTCTGCACCTCAGAATCTACCTCCATTCCCAGGTGAGCCCACGGGGTAGGACCCTAGGATTCTGGACTCTCTCCTTGACCTCCAGTAGCCCCTCTCCGACGAAACACTGGCAGGATTGTTGTGGGCTGGTCTCCCTGAGACAGATGTTGAAAGAGCCACCTGGACTCGTAGCCAAAGAGCTGGATTGTAGCCCCAGCTCCACCACTTAGTAGCTGTGTGACCCTGGGCAAGTCATTTAACCTTCTCTGACATGGTTTCTTCACTAGTCACATAAAGATAATGCCTATCTTGCTTACCTCGTGGACTTGTTGTGAGGATAGGGGTATGAGGAAATCAAAGTGTTTTGCAGGCTTTCAAACACCGTCTTACGGTTCTTGCCTCAATTATTTGTTGTGGGTTTGGCCTGAGAGCCCATGCCCCATCCTATCCCAACCCCAGATTTTTTTCTGCAAGAGTTTGCTCCAAGCCATCCCTGAATAATTGGAGAAGACTAAAATCAGACCCAGATCACTTCCCTCCCATGTGACACTTGGTGGAGGCCGTGCTGCCGCTAAAAGGATGGAGTGGGTATAAGAGCAGAGGGGCTGCCACATGCTGGCCAGCTGCAGGGCCTACATAACATTCAGATCCCTGAATGTTGAAGAAACCAGATCTTTCTAGTATCTGTGGCCAAGGGCCTGAAACTCTAGGTGGATGGGCAGGAAGGATCGGGGACCACGCTGCTCACCATGGGACGAGGCCACCGATCAGGTCCCGGGAGTCACCGCGCAGCAGGCGGCTCCTGGAAATAAAACACAGAGCTGGAGCTCTCCCAGGAGCTGCAGGAGAAACTGGGACGGCCTGAGACTCAGGAAATGAGGCCAGCGTGTTCTCAGCAGGATGGGCTATTATTCTGCTGACATGTGAGACCAACCCCAGTCTCTCACGTTTCTCTTATTTAGGTGACACCATTTGGTTTATTGACCAAAGGTAGCCTATTGGAAAAACTCGAGACGCAGTCTATATGAAGACGGGTGGAGAGAATCATGTTTCCTGGTCAATGGGCAACTCGGCTCATCCTATCCTTGGCTTAGAGCCAAGAGCTCAAGTCCTCATCTTTCATTAAATCCAATCAGTCCATTCAAGGATGGAGCCAGGAATGTACAATTGCTTGCTTATCCATACTCCCTTGCATGAGGCAGGCTCTCTCTAGAAGATAAGAGGTCTAATGTCCCTAATACAATGAGAAATTTCAATTGTGTAGCTGTGCAGCATGTCCCCCAAGGAATTCCAAAGCTCGGTTCATGTTTCTTGCCTATGACTTCCCAAATCATCCCTTGGAACACTCTAAGGATCCAGCCTAACGAAAATATCCCCATTCCTGCTCAAGGCTGCTTGCTCCCTGAAATGAGACATAGGTCTATCATACTTGCCGTGGAAGCAAGAGAGTGTCCCAGGAGTCTCCTCTCCCATCTGAGTACGCCTACCTTCTCTTGCAGCCGTTCCAACATGGCGGCAAGGTGGGCCTCCCGGTTCTCCTTATTGGATTCCATCTTCTGGGCCAGTTTTTCCTTAGCCATCTTGATGAAGTTGTTGTTTTCCTCAATGGCTTTTTGGATCACCTCCCGCTCGTGTTCTCGCTTCTCTGCCAGGTGCTTCAGGAGCTCAGCTTCCTGGTACTAGGACAGCACAAAGAGGGAAAGAGGCCCTTGTGGGTGAGCATGCTGGGTGTTTATTTACCATCATGACTTAAGAGCTCCACACCCAGAACACATGCCTCCCTGAGCCTAGTTCCTGGCCTGCTGGCAGGAAGCAAGGACCCTTCTGGTTTCTCCTACCATAGCCTCAGTTGCCTTTGTCTCACTGCCGTCATACATTCGTTAATTCATTCAAAAATACTAAATGACTATATACTATGTGCCAGACATTAGTCTAGTAACTTGGGAAAGAAAAAAGTCTAGTAGAGATGAGACATATATAACTCTGCCCCAGACTAGCATGTGACATATATCATAAGGGGTAGAGAGAAAATGCTCTAGGAATTCAAGGGAGGAGAAGATTATTTTCTGCGTGAAAGATGAAGAAAAGTTTACACAGAGATGGTATCATAGTATCAATAGGAACCATGGAAGGCACGTGGCGGGGCGGGGGGGTGGGGGGTGGCTGGGGGGGTGGCGGGGGGGGGTGGCGGGGAGGGGCGGAAATACCGACCATGACCTTCTTGCCCCTCCCCCAACTGAGGATCCCTTCCCTTAATTGTCTAGCCTTTCCCTAAATCCTTAGTGTTTGTCAATGTCTTGTTCCTGTCACTGTGCGTGTAAGGCCACCTCTTGGAGGTATGTAATGCCTATCCCTATCCCCTAGCCAAACTGTAAGCTTCTAGAGACCGGGGACTTCCACTTCTTTGTTTCCCTCAGTGGTGCCTCATTCTCTGCCCTGCACATGGGAGATGCTGCCTAAATATCTGTAGGTTGGTGGTGACCTGACACCAGCTCAGGGCCATCACCTGTCTTCTCCAGCTCCCTCCACCTCATACTGAGATGGAGGGAAGAAAGGATGGCACTTACCTTCCTTCGCTCCTCAGCTGCTTCTAGTTTCTTCTGGATCTCTTCTAGTGATGGGTCTCGCCGCCTGGGTAGAGAGGCATTGAACTCGGGCACCCCATCGAAGGAGGGTGGCTTCAGGATGACTTCAAAAGACTGGCCCGAGGTGCATTTGTTCAGCTCGATGACTTCCATGTCAGAAATTACACACCAGTTCAGGTCCACTGTGTCTGCTGCAGAGAGCAGAAAAGGGGCTGCTCACCCCCGAAGACTCCATGGGCACCCAGAAAGCATGCGTTACATGCACACACACGCGGGAGGTCTGGGGTCCCCAAAGCAAACCAGTAACCAGGGTTCTGGGCCTGTCCTGAGCATGGCACCTAGGGTCATGGGCTCTGATGGGGCTGGAGGAGTTGGTAGCCACAGTAAGGTCTCAGGCTCCACGAGCGGGGGTCTCAGGATCTATGAGATCTAATAACGGCTGAGCAACTGCTGCTGCTTTTGCTGCTGCCACAAGGCTCCTCTCGTAGGTGAGCTCCTGCTGGAGCGTCATCAGGTGGCCAGCAGGGTGCATTCACCCACCACCCACCACCCCTCCGCTCCTCAGCCCTCTGTGAATCTGATGGCTCGGCCTGTTGACACCTCTCCCGCCCTCTCCTACCCTGCTCTCTTCTTTCTCTCCAGTCAGCACTGTCTTTCCGCTGGCTTTGATCTTTTCTCCTACACTGTCTCCCACACCAGCCTAAACAGAAAAAACAATCTCAGGTAACCCAAGCACTCCCACCTCTCATTTCCAGACCAAACCCATCCCTTCCTTTTACCCCCAGGAAATTGAGAGGTGACCTGTTCCCCAGCCCCCCTAATCAGGACATGGCCATTCAGTGCTCCCCACTAGTGTCTTGGGACATGGCGTCCTGGGACTCTGTGGCAGGTCCCAGGCAGCATGGCTATCACAGAGCCTCCTTGGGGGGACCCAGGGGGAAGTCCTCTTCCCACCTCTGGACCCTCCCAGAGCATTCTCTACCCTTGACTGAGGAGCCTTGGTGACTGTGGAATCTAGCGATTTGCGCCACATCTTGTCTTCGCTTCTAGGCTACATGTTCCCTGAGGGCGAAATCTGTCTGCTTAGCCTCTTCGTCCTCCACAGCATCCGTTTGTTAAACAAATGCACAACAGCTGAGATCAAAAGCACTCTGAAGAGTGTCTGATTCAGACCTTCGGCTGCTGTCTCAGTGTCCAGGCCCCACACCTGCCTTCACACAGGGCTTAGACCCTCAGAATCAGCCATGGCGATGCCACTGATTCCGGGAAAGGAAAGGTGATGCGGGAGGGGAGTTTCAGGAAATTGCTGTACTCATGGATACAAACCACAGGAACCCTCCAGCAGTCGCTCTCACATTGAGGCCCTCACTTACCTTCATATTTGTAGGACGACTTATTCAGGGGGTCGGCCAGGAAACAAGAGCAGAACAAAGACACCAGTGGGAGCTCCTTCATCTTCTCTTTGTAGGCTGCGAAAACACCCGGCACATGAAGATGGTGACCACTCCTAGACTTAGAAGCCAGCATCCGTGCGAGTCAGGGTGCCTGAGCAATCAGGGGTCACCGGGCTCCACAGAGGCACCCAAACCACCCAGGCTCACCCCTGTCCGGGGATCCAGCCCCCTTAGCTCTGAGTGGCCCTCTTTTGGATTAGTCTGTGTGATTAGGACCCACTTCTGCCCACCTATTAGAACCTGAGCCTTCCAGAGCATCCAAATGACCCCATCTTCCCCCCAGTACCTCGTCTCCCTTTGTGGAACTGAATATAAAATGCCCTCAGGTAAAACCCCAAGCAGCAGCACCTTCATCCCAGCCTGGTACCCAGGACCTAGCTCTCTAGCCACCTGCACTTGCCCAGGGTGTCCATTTCTTTTGCTCCAGGATACAGGAAATCCACCCTCCATTTTACTCAAAGTACTCGGCAGTGCTCCCCTGAAGGGTGAAGAAGCTCACCACCATCTCTCTGGCCTTGCGCCTCACTGGGTGGCAAAGTCAGGCTGTGAGCCTCCCCTGGCCTTCCCAGCACAGGGGTCAAAGCCAGAGGGGCTGCTGTCTGTGAGGCCTGGAGCAATACTTACCCCCCACCCCCCACTGTCTAGTCTCTCTGTGCCTGGGGAGGCTTTGAAAGCCAGGAGGTCACGGTTAGAGCTGCTGTGTTGACGTGCAGCCCACACCACCAGCCCTGGCCCTGCGCTCCCAGAGCAGCCCCCCTCCACCCTGGGGCCAAGGCCTCTTGTTTGAAGCTCAGGCTCCCTCGGCACTCAGCTGAGCCCCAGCGCAGCGCCCGGGTGCTTCCCCACTCATGTACTTCTACAAGCTGAAAACACAGTGAACTGCAAAAATCAGGCACGTACATTGTAGAAACTTTTTAGGAGCACACGCAGACAAGTAAAAGGACCACAGCTCAGCTGTGATCCCACCAACTGTCTAGAGAGAACTTCTTCTAACCCTCAGGTGTACTCCTGTCCACCTTTTCTTGTTTTCTGTGCATCTGTCAGTACATGCATGTGTGTACAACAACACCCGAGGCTGTGGTGCCCATCATATAAAGAGGTTTTGTACCTACCAGCGAGGGTCATGTTTTCTGGAATATGAGAGATGAATCCAACTAAAAGTCACAGAGTAGGTCTGTCACAGCTCAGGACACTGTCACGAATCTGAGGAAAAGAGAGCATTTTACCCCTGACAGGTTATTCTCGTAAGGAAGGTCTCTACACAATTGGGGCAGGAGTCCCAGGAGGCACCTCGGCTGCCCCCACATCCAGGCCCTCTCCACACCCACTCTCCCTTTCCCCAATGCCAACCACTGTGCTAATGATGGTTTCATAACTGATTTCCTAAGGCCCCCTAAGTGTGCAAAGATGGGTTTTCCCAAACTGTGTGGATCAAGGCTGTTCGTCAGTCTGCCTGAGTAGCTCAGTGGCCTGGCCCAAAGCCAGGGTTAGGGTGAGAGACAAATCCTAAGTCAGAATCACCTGGGAGGTGGTCATGAAATAGCTATGTGTCCTGAATTTCTCCCTGCACCCACCCCAGACTTTCTCCCTCAGCCCATTCTGCCATGGGTGAGAGGGAATTGGATAGAGCATGTCAGAATACCTCTTCAGATCCCCCTTACTCCCTTCCCCCAAAAGAACCACTGTCCTAAGCACTCCTTGACCCCATTTAAGACAACCCTGACTATGAGAAGGGACGAACATTATTCAGGAATGATGTCATCACGTGTTCAGTGCAGAGACAGAAATCAGCACGCAGGATTACGGCGGGGGCACAGTGGCAGGGCTCCATACACAGCAGGAGGCCTGGGGAGCCAGCAAGGGCCCCATGGCATTAGCAGCGCCTGAACTGAGTCTTCAGTGATGAGTCAGAATTAGGGAGGAGATGGCAGAGAGGGCATTCTGCCAAGGGAGCAGCACACACAAGGGCCAGTGCGAGAAAGCTCAGAGTCTGTGGGGATCTGAAGCTGGTTGATGCTGGGCCAGGAGTGAAGGAGGAGGGGGAGGTAAAACAGGAGAGGCAGGGAGGGAGCAGAGCAGGGAGTGTCTGGGGGACACAGGGCAATGGGGCTCCACTGAAGGCCACTATCTGACAGAGTGAGGAATGCCCAGCAGCGAGTGTCTATCATGGGGACCACTTGATCCTTGGCCACTGTGATCGTTAACTTCTGTGTCAACTTGACTGAGCTAAGGGATGCCAGGATAGCTGGTAAGACATTATTTCCAGGTGTGTCTGTGAGGGTGTCTCCGTAATGGAAAGTATTTGAGTCAATAGACTGGGTAGAGATGGCTCCCACCAATTTGGGTGAGCACCATCCGATCTGTGGAGGGTCCTCATAGAATAAAAAGGCAGAGAAGGCGAATTTGCTCTCTCTGCTCGAGCTGGGACCTCCATCTTCTCCTGAGCTCCTGGTTCAGGCCTCCAGACTGAGACTGAAACTACAGTACCGACTTTCCTGGGCGTGCAGCTGGCAGGTGGCTGAGGGTGGGACTTCTCAGCCTTCATAATTGCGTGAGTCAGTCTGTTATAATAAATCCCTTCTATATATCTCTATATATCCTACCATTTGTTTCTTAGGAGAACCCTGAACAGCCACCCTCAGTGGTCACTGTGCCAGCGGGGGGTGGCATGAGCCAACACCTTCACTGCCTGCATCTTCACAAGGCAGCGGGACTCAGAGACTGACTTAGAATCCTTTCCTTTCTTGATGAGGTGTTTTTCCCTCTGGGGAGCAGAGTCCACACTGACTGGGCGCGGCAGGGGAGCCAATGGGAGCAGTGAGCTCAACTCTGGCTTTAGGGCTAGACCAGTGTGAAGTCAAACAGACTTCACCTCTCTTACTGGCTGTCACCAGTCACTTCACATGTCTAACCTGTGCTTAGTTCTGCACAGAGTTGTACAAATTAAATGGGAAAAGGATGTTACGGCATCCAGCAAAAACAAGGTGCTTAATAAGTGTTAGTTTCCCTTCCTCTGACTTTTCATCAGAGTAGCTCCCAGGTGCCACACACCTGCTTTGGAGTCATCACCTGTGGTCCTCACCAGCCCTGCAAGTAAAGGCTGTGGTTGCCGTTTGCAGATGAGGAAACTGATGCTCAGAGGGTTCATGTGGCATGCTCAGTGTCAATCAGCTAGAAAGTTAAAGAGCGGAGATTTGAAGCCAGGTCAACCGGCCTGCAAGCGCTGTGCTCCCTGTGGTGTGTTCGTGGTCTTCTCCTTGTTGTGCTTTGGAGCCAGAGGTGCCCCTTTCACGCCACTCCCGAGGCAGCACAATGGGCCTCTCTCCTCAGAGTCAAGCTGATCCTGACAGTACCAGTGAGTCCGTAAACAGGGAGGGGGACCGAGTGCCTGGATGCGACATCCCTGGTCATGAGGCTCCATTCTACACAATCTCCGCTCATGACCAGGCTGATTGATGAGGGGACTGGCAGAGTGAGCGAGCCCTTGCCAGGACAGGGGGCAGCCTCAGAATTGAACCTGGGTAATGGCTCAGAAGTGGAGGTCCAAACAGGGGAAGGGGAGGCAGAGAAGGAAACCCGGAGAAGGAAGGGCCTTAGCCGGCTTCTTCTGTAGGAGCTGGTAGCTGTAGTCAGGGACCGTGCCCCTCGGCCTGAGCTGGGGGTGGTAATTAAGACCCTCCCCTCATGGAGCACCTTACACATTACAGTCCTTGGCACCTACGTTACATCAGTTGATCTTCACATGAGGCTGGGCTAGGCTGACAAGGCAGGCAACATCAGCTTCACTTTCAGACAAAGAACCTAGGGCTCAAGGAAGTTATGACTTTCAGCTAAGGTCACACGGCTAGTAGGTGTAGAGCTGGGTCTAGGATCAAGACCTTCTGACTTGTAAGCTCTTCCCTTGTGGTCAGTGAAGGAACTAGATGGTACTTGCTGTTCCTCCATGGTCCTGTGGACAACAGGGAAGCCAGTCTGGCCTGAAGACTCGTGTGGAAGATATTGTGCTATGCTAGGAGTTTTAGGAGCAGGACGAACCAAGTAGGGAAGACAGGTCAGAGAGACAGAGAAGGAAGACCAGGGCAGGGAACAGGAGACATCCAAGAGATGGGCAGTGGTATGCACAGCCAAGGGATTTGTGACTGAGAACTCTTGATTTCACAGGGTTGGAGTCTGTATGACTAAAACTGCATATTTTACAGAATCTACAATGTGACAAATGCTTTCACTTTAATTGTCATGATGACTTTGTGACATAGAATTACTATCCCTATCTCATAGATATGAGGATTGAGGCTCAGAGAGGCTAAGTGACATTTCCAAGGTCACTCAGCATAGTGGGTTGGATGGTGTCCCCCAATAAGGTATGTCCAGATCCTAACCCCTGCAATGGAATGTGACTTTATTTGGAAAGGGTCTTTGCAGATTTAACTAAGTATCTCAAGATGAGATCATTCTGTATGATCTAGATGGTACCAAAATCCAACAGCAAGTGTCCTTAGGAGACATACAGAGGAGAGACCCACAGAGAGAAGAAGGCCATGTAAAGATGGAGGCAGAGATTGGAGTGGTGCAGCCGCAAGCCAAGGAATGCAGGGAGCCACCAGCAGCTGGAAGAGGAGAGGAAGGATCCCCTCCCTAAAGTCTTTGGAGGAAGTGTGGACCTGCTGCCACCTTGATTTTACCCTTCTGGACACCAGAACTGTGAGAGAATGAATTTCTATTGATTTAAGCCACTAAGTTTGAGGTCATTTGTTACAGTAGCTGCAGGGAACTAACACACTCAGTAAGTGACAGAGCCAGGGTTCAAATCCCTGATTCTCTCGCCTTCTCTCAGCTACCAGTGTCTACGCATGGTCTGATGTGCTCCTCAAGATAATCTGTGTACACGTACCTGTGGGTACGTGGGGCCCTTATACATCCTCGTGCCAATAGTCATGTCATTTCTATTGCACTCAAGACCCAAAAGATGTTGCTGCCCATGGGACATTCTGAGAAAGGATATAAGGGAGTAGCAGGGAGGGCAAGACTCTTCTGGAGGACCCAGCAGTGCAAAGGGGTCCTAAGCCATTGGGTGGTGGCAGCCACTGTAGGGAGGCTAGCTTTATCCCTAACTGACATCCTGTGGCATCCTCATTGGATGGGGCCAGTCACACCCACCTCCCCAGCACTCAGCCTGGCTGCGTGAGGACTCTAGATTGTCTTATGAGTTGAACCCAGATTGAACACACATCCTTCGGAAGATCTGGTTATGCTAACCCATGGCCTGGAGGCCCTTCAGAACAGCTCTTAGGCACCTGTTCTCCCATCTTAGACACCAACAACACAGGCCACTCTCCTAGGCATGTCCAGTCAACCAAGGGCCCACAAACAAGCCTTAGTCTGGATGCCTGGGCCCTACAATCTTCTCATGGTACCATGGAATCTGTTAAATGGCTTGGAGGTTTGGGTCATGTCATCATGCCACTGCAAACTACCTGCAACAGAGTGGGGCCACCAGGCCTATTCTTGGACTGACAGAGAGGGGCAGTAAGGGATGTTATTGCCCAAGGTCAGAGAGGACAGAATGTCAGGAATTCAGGGAGGCAAGATGAAGATTGAGAAACATTAGAGGCCAGAGAAGGCATGAGGCCATGAGGTCAGGCCCATCAGTGGGAGAGTCTGTCCAAGACATCAGACATCAGAGCATCATAAGGCAAAACTCCATGTTGAGGTAAATATGTGGCCCCCCTAGAGACTCCTTGCATGTCTTCTGTTAAGGCAGAGGCCAATCCCAGGCCTTGGATAGCCCCTAAGGAAGACCAAGAAACTGACCACATGCAGTGGTAGCAAAGATCAAGGGGCCCCCAACCGAAGGCCGATGTGTCGCAATCACTCAGCCAATGACCACAGACCCAGAGCTGGAGCTCAGGAAGCAGCCTCCTGCCTCCGCCCAGTGCTCACTCCCAAGCACTGTCGATGGGTACAGACTGGTTGGTCAAGAGGCAGGGCTTCCTTGGGCAGCCCAGCCCCTGTGCTGTCAGTTATCCTTGTAGCCTAGCAGGTGGTGAGAGGACTCAAGCTTCAGATGACAAAGGTGAGAGTGTGATGGGGTTATTATGCAATTCAGGCTCTGCAGTGCCTCTAACCTTGCAATAGATTTGGAACTTGACCGCATGCTGGGCGTGTGGACTGGGTTTATTGGGGAATGGAGTAGGCCCACTAGG